GAGTAATATTCTATTTTAACTGTGAATTAATGGCTTTTTGTATTGCTGCAGCTAAAAGAATATACCTTTCATTGAGTTTACTGCTTTCCTTGAATAACTGCAACATAGGGGATATTTTAAAAATGTATATTAAATTAGATAATAGAAATTATATTTTTAAAACAAATTGTTAAAATGTAAGGAACTGAAGAATCCACTCAGTAGTTTTTTTTCTTTTTAAAACTCTTAATTCAACAATTATTTCAATGCAGATTACTCCTATTTTACTGACAGTAAGCAAATAATCTTATTCACATAACTGTATATTTTCAACAAAAGGGTTCTTTTTTCCTTTCAACTAATAAAAATCTTAAAATGCATTCTGTATATCCACTTTTCACTATGTATCTTTTTAAAAACAAATACCCTTTTAACTTGTAAGAGTTGAAACTGAATGATCATATTGGATTCTAGTTCTGTAGTCTCATGTGCTGTATATTGTGATGCATACATGAGAGGATTGGATGGTGTTTTTATTTGTTCTTTCAGTCTGCATCAACCAATGGTGCAAATAAAAGGGATTGTTTGCTGTTTTTTAGAAGCACATTAAACTCCTATTAGTAGCTTAAAATAAACTATATTGTAACAAGGATGAAATGATGTAGTGTGAATAAATTATGACTCTATTAAGTGAGCTGGGAAGCTTAATGCAATAAAATTTGCACTGGTTTAGAGACTGTTTTGAACTGTTGAAAAATGGCATCCATTTACTGTGCTTTGATTAACAATTGTTTCTCTGTAATATTTTTTGTACATTTGACAAAGAAATTTGAGTTTAAAAGGGCACTCTGTATCCTGAATTCTGTATAGATATTCTAGACTAAGAAACAATTTTTAATGTTGCTCCCAAAATAAAATATATATGCATCCTGTGTAAAAATGTGCCATTGTTCAGCTTTTTTCACCACTGGAATTTAAATGACTGACAGAATTTAATTTTAAGTGCAAATTCAGCCTATAGTTCGGCAAAAGACTTTTGATTGTCATTTTGCGTAATTATTTCACAGTACCTCAGTGGCTTCTGAATGATGGGAAAGAGCAGAGGCAGGGGGAGATGGAAATAAGAAATGGGACTCGCTTGTGGAGATGTGGCTTCTAGAGAGTGTGGATGGCTCTGTGGCACCTTCAGCAAGCACTGGGCATCAGCAGAGGTAAGAACAGGTGAAAAACAGGCTCAGTGTGACAGAATCTGTAAAGTTCTTGTTTATAAGAAAAGCATGGCCCCTGGCTTCCTGAGGATAGCTGGTGCTCTCTGCAGCATATTTGTGACTTTACTTGGGAGAACACTTCCAGGAGCTGTGGTTTTTCCGTGGCTTCGTAATGCGATCACGGAGTGGTGCTTTCACCTGATGCATCCCAGCTTGTCACAACGTTGGTGGACCTCTTGACTCATAACGTAGTTGCAGGTCACAGTTGCAACTGCAGTTGCAGGTTACATTGTTGCAGTTTTCAGGGGTATTTTTGAGGGATTGCAGTTTTTTTACTTCACAACTGCATATCTTTCAAACCCCTTCATGTACAGCAGTCAGTGCATTAATCCAACAGTAAGAATAACAATATGAGACCCTAAAGACCTTTCTTGGCTGATGAGACTGATGTGCATAGCACAGATTGATATCTTGTGGAGAAGATTGATAAATAAATAATAATAAATAAACCTGTATTTCCAGACTTATTTTTAGATAGAGAGCTGAGGAACAGTTAGTCTTTTGGACTTGTGTACCTTTTAAGAATCACACTGACTTTCCTTGTTTTCCTCTGACTGCTTTTGTCACTGCTGTCATTTCAGTAATGCTGCTTGCTAAGAATGTTACCCTGTCTTTGCATTTCCTACCCTTCACGTGGCCTGTTGAGGGAGGAGACAAAAAAGAGGGAGAATGCTGTGCAGAAACATGCTTCCATTTGAGGAATCCCCAAAAAAGCATGAACACAGGCTTTGAGTTTGAAGCTGTAGAGATGAGGGAACTGCTACTTCCTGTGCCAGAATCTGGTAGGAAATTTGAAGGAATGTGGTGATAAAATAGCCGAAGGTAATTGCTTAAGGAAGCTCTGATTCTTCATGTGTTCAGAACCACCTTGAGTGGTAGTTCCCTAATAATATTGATAGTTACTCCTATCTCTGTAAAGACAAACTTCTACTGTCTACAAAGAAAAGGAAGAGCCAATTTGCCAGGCTGGAGAACTGATGGGGTCCACAAGTAATCTGAAAGGCTTTGCCTCTCTGTAGAAATAATAGCATGTGCCAGAGTAGCTGAGCAGGAAAGGCCTTGTGTTACCGGTGGGCACCAACCTGACCCTGAGACAGCCCATAAAAAATGCTCAGACTTGTCCAGCCACTGCCCTGCTTCAGCAGGTGTTTGTACATTACTGCTTTTCCTGGAGGAGTCTCAGTGGCTCCATGGAGTTGGGTGGCAGACAGAAATTGCTGGGAAGAATGGGGGCTCACTTCACCTAGTTATGAGGGTAGTTCAGAGGGATGTTCCAACATTTCTGTTTAGGTTTCTTCAGTATGCTTTCCTTTGGCATTTTTTCCACATTTGTTTTCTGTTTCCTGTTTTTTTTCTGTCTAAATCCAGACCTTGCTGGTTAAAAGTGATTATGTATGTCAATGTTATGTGTATTCTGTTTCGTTTCAAAGAGAAGAAATGGCAATCTCTCAGGTTCTGACCAGGGCCCATTACTTGCCCTGAAGCTTAAGGTGCCTGAGTTTGCAGTCAAGCTTCAGACTTGCAGAAAGTCTGCTGTTAAAGAGCAGACTTCCTGCAAAAGTCAAACCTGTCAAAACTGCTGAGACATGCAAGGAAAAGCTGCTGTTGGCAGATGGGATTGTGTTTAGTATCACAGGTTTTGAACTGCCATTAAGCTGCTTAGGGACTTCCGCACCTGCTGGCCTTGTGGTTTTATTGCAGTTTCTACTGCACAGGGGCAGAGAAAACATGGTCTTTTTTCATTAGCCTCTTTCAGGTTGGGGATTTGAGTCATCCATGACCTAAAGCCATGGTGAAAGTAGGCGAACAGGAAAATTCAGTGTGAGTTTATCAAAGGAAAATCATGCTGAGCTAAATTGGTTAATACAACAGAAAAATAGCACCTCAAGAGAGAGCAGTATTGTTTAGCCGGACCTTAGCAAAGCATTTGATGTGGTTTTGCATAGCCTCCTCCTAGAAAAAGATCAAATATAGACTGGATGGGAGTGATCTGTGAGATGGGCACTCACAGATGGGCAGCAACCATCCCACAGGTGATCAACATGTTTTACTGAACCTGTTCCAGGTGGGTCCCCCAGGGATCAGTACTGGGCTCCATATTGTAACATCTCCATGAGTGATCTGGACGATGGGACCAAAAGCACCCCTCACCACATTTGCTGTGTCACTAAACTGATGTCAGTTGAGGGGGACACCGGGGCAAGAAGAACCACCTTTCACAGACCTGAACAGGCCAGACTAGATGATCTTTCATGGTCCCCTCAAGCCAGGACTGTTCTTTGAGTCTACAAGTCATGATATGTCTAATTTGCACTTGAAAGCCTAAGACTGCAGAAGGAAGCAGCAGATAATCTACTAAGGCAGTTCCAGGAAACAAGTGAGGGAGAACAGTGCAGAAAGGATTTTTTTGCTGCTGGTGGTAAGGCCATGTATTTCCTGGCTCTGACAAGGCCACACATCCTCAAAACTTGATAAAAATTACCAGGACTCCACTCCAGGACTCACACAATCATACAACTGGGTATTAGGTGCACTGCTTCAAAGAAAGACGATCACAGCCTATACAGCAGAACAGGTCATACAGAATAGCCTGTATCACTCTTGTTCAAAACACTCCTGTTCTTGTCCAGGACACACCTCAGTACCCAAAGTACCTCTTAACCATCTGCAAGTACATCTTACTAGGATTAAGAAGCTAGACAGTGTTATTTCCCTTCTGAATATTATAAAATTCTGAATTGTGAATTTAGTGAGTTCTACTCTCTTATCTACATTTTCTCCATATTAATTTTTTGCTGCTGAGAGACTAATGTGGAGTAAAAAAGGACCTTTTTATTTAGTGAAGCTCAGGTTTAACAGGGCCTATGGATCTTCAGTTAAAACTGTATGCAATAAACATGGTCTCCATAAAAAAATACATTGTAAAATGGTACCACAATTATCAGCACTTTCAAACTTTTCTGATTAGTTGTCCTTCAAAGTCTGTTAAGCTGTGAAAAATGGCTTAAAGCTTGGTAACTGCTATAGCCAAGTCTCTTGATCCAAAGTTCCACTGCACTTAAGTGCTTCTTGGCAAATTCTGTCCTTGTCAGAGTTGGTATCCCACTATCCTAATACAAACCTAAGTTCAAGGACCGCAGGTTTGGTCCTTCCACATTCCTTACGTACAGACAGCAGATCTCTTCTTCTTCAACATATACAGTATCTGCTTCTAGCCAGGTGAGACTCTAACTTAGAAGAGCCTTGCCACACACACAGGAATAAAAACCTTCCCAACTTCTTACATTGTGATGAAGCTCAATTTACTAGAAACAGAAGCATGTCTCAACAAAAACAGAAATGGATCCAAATTGCTATTTAAGAACTAAGACAACTTATTTAGCTACAGACCATTTTAACATCCAACACGTGTTTTTGAGTCCAATTCCCATTACCCTCATCCAGTATATACTGAATCCATTAAGGCCACTGAAATTTCTAATCCCCAAGTCAAATTTTCAAGTCTAACCTTTAAAAGGTGGCTTCTCATCTCAGTACCAATTTCAAGAGCAGAATGCTGCCAATACCAACAGAATCACATTTGCAGTAACCCAAATGGATCATCAAGAGGAACACCAGGGCTCCTTGAAACACTACCACCACTAAAGCTTTGGAATAAGAGCACGATTCAGACATTCCCAGAACTCTGGCACGTTTGTGGCCACTTTCCCGGGGAACCAGTTCCAGTAACAACATGCACTACAAAGTCTCATACTGAAGTTAGCCACCAAAGGAGTTTATTGGTAATCAAATGTACAACATCTTTTAAGTATTGTACACAACATCTTTACTTCTGACTTGATTCGGACTTGGATGTAGAAGCTCTCAAAGAAGAAAGCCGGCGCCTCTTGGCAATCTGCTCCTGGCGTTTCTCCTTGGCTTCCTGAAAGTCAAGAAGTATAGAGATGTTACATATCATTGAGCACTTTGAAACATCTACCAAGAAACAAATCAGGCTAAATGCAACTTGAATAAATTCTGTAAGTCAATAGTGCAGAATTTCCCTTCTACAGCTCAGAACAATACTGCAAGTATCCAAACCAGCAAAGACCTGTGTCTTTGCACAGTATGCATCCAAAACTTTAGTTAAGGAACTCATGTAGAGTTTTCAACACACCAAAGGTGAAGCTCTGTTTGTAGCTGAAGTAATGAAATTCAGGATGCACTGTGCTAAATACTGCAACTGTACTGCTTTCAGTACTGCTTCAGCAGTCAGTGCAGTTTTAGGAGCACGGGCAAACACATGCTAACAAACACCTTCTTGCCAACTTAGCCTCCATCAAGATCAACTGCTAAATCTCATTTCTCCACACAATTACTCAAATGCTTCAGCATCTTGAAGTTAAACCAAAACTCACTTGAACTAAAATAGCTGTGGAAAAAATAACCTTGGAGGCCATAACGGTTTATTTCCTTCAAAAAAAAAAGGCTCTCAAATTAGTGGCCTTAATTTCTATTCTCTATGACATTAACAGAATAAATATTCAAAAACCCCAACTGATCAGCTATCTTTATACTCATATCTGGGCACTTATATTCAAAATGAGCAGGTACAGAGCAGCAGTAGGCACACAGTCCAGTTTACCAAATCCCTTGATTCTGGAGCTATCTTCCATACAGCTGAGTTAAAATGGCAAACATACCTTCATTCTCTTGGCCAACAGCTTCGCATACTCTGCAGCTTCCTCCTTGTTCTTCTGAGTGCGCTGCTTCTTCAGGGCAATACGCCTGCGCTTATGCTGCAGCACTCTGGGAGTCACCAGTCGTTGGATCTTGGGAGCTTTCGTTCTGGGCTTCTTGCCTAAAAATCATTACACATCAGTGGAAGTGGCAGAGTAGCTTCGTAAGTGGCCACAGGCCTCATCTAGCCAACTTTAGAGTAAATTTGATTTACTGTTACATTATTTAGTGTACTTCGTATTACAGAAACTACAGAGAGTTCAATACCTTCACAGATTTTACAGGAAAAATGATCAATTATCACCAGATGCAGCATTAACAATACACTGTCTATTGTGATTTGTTATTAGAAATATAGTGTGAATTCTAGCTTCTCAGCAGACCTCTCTTTTTGAACTCCTCTCTAGACCTGTATTTTTTAGTAATAAAAGAATCCATTATATAGCTTCCAGAACAAGCCATTGTTCCAGCATTAAAAAGACATCTACAATTTTACTTAGGTTTGACACTGCTCATCCCAAAAAACAAGGTTGACTGTCCACAATGGGCAAACAAAACACACTATCACAAACATCTGTAAAATAAAGCAAAAAAACTCAAAATTAAAATCTTACACTGCAATAGAGAGGTAGTAAGGAAAGCAGTGCCCTGCCACTAAGACCTCTATTCAGACTGCCTGCTATAAACAAGGGGGAAAAAAAATCTTAGGATTTTCTCTCTATACTGCCTTTCCCCCCACACCATGTAAGTTTTAAGCACATTCCACCTTGTATTTAACTTTCTTTCATCAGCAACTACTTCTGGGTTATTCTTAGAAACACTAGTAAAAATTACTCCAGATTCTATCAAACATATAAGAACAAACTGTAACAAAACATGACAGAGAGGTGAAGGAAATGAGGGAACCAAGAAACTTTTTTCCACAAGTTACGACTGACAAAGCTCAAATACATCGAGTGTCAACTTCCCAGATGCACTATACACTGTGCTCTGCTCAGTGCAGCAGGCTGGACACCTCGGCAGCTGTTACAAGAAACCGCAGAGCTGTACTATTGGGAGTTCTTACCCTCCTTATTCAGAGGCTTCCTCACAACATACTGGCGAACGTCATCTTCCTTGGAGAGGTTGAACAGCTTGCGGATCCTGCTGGCCCTCTTGGGACCAAGACGACGGGGCACAGTTGTGTCAGTCAGCCCAGGAATGTCTTTCTCACCTTTGGGAATGTAAGTTTAAACACGTCAATTACTGCACTACTGAGCACCAGGTTCAGCAGCAAAACAGTAAGTTTAAAATATATAAGAATTCAAGGTAATACTAGGTAATCTTTGGGGTTCACCTGTCAATAGCACTACCCTAGCCACCCTTGGCTACTTTGACATGCTCAGATTGCTGGCATCAACAGTGTTTTAGTGACCAGTTTTAACATTACAAGAATGCAATGCTCAGAGGACTCCTAAGATGCGTTCACACCCTGAAACTGGGACTGCCACTTCCATTCTACACAACTTACCAACCACAATCAAGCAGGCTCCTTCCAGGTGCCTGCATCTACCTATTTATTGGCTGTTTTACTGAGACTCTTACCTTTTTTCACTATGACCAAGTTCAGGACACTCAAGTTTGCATCAACAATGCAGCCACGGACAGACTTGCGCTTTCTCTCGCCAGTTCTCCTGGGGCGATAGCAGGAATGGCCCTTGCTGAGCAGAAGGCGGACACGTCCGTGGGTCAGGACACCCTGCTTCATGGGGAAGCCTTGCTTGTCATTGCCACCGCTTATCCGCACAACATAGCCCTATAAAACAGGAACACTTCGAGTTACTCATGTCTTTATTTCCTCAAGAAGCAGATACCGCAAGAGACTACAGGGAACAAGGGAGCAGCATGTTCATGATTTAGCTTAAGTCACTGTTACTGCTAGCGCAAACAACTTTAACCAACACCTTTGGAACAGTTCTGCAATTTTACTCAAGAAATGTACAAATTACCTCTGTATACCAGAATTTACATTTAGTCTGATTCACATCCCTTTGAAGTTTTGTTGGAAAGTAATAGTGCAAAATCTCTTACCATTATTGTCTAGGTTTTCTGCAATTTTAAGCTTAATTAAAGCCAGTTATCTTGACAAACTGGGAATCTGCACAGAACACAGAAGCGTCTACAGTAGTGACACACAGGAAAAAAAGGTTTGATCACGTGTGAGGATGGCAGCAGAAAAGATCACATTCCTCAAACTCAGCTGCACTGTCCATATTAACACTACTCCAAGCCCATCCACCATGCCAAACATGTTTTTTTCTCATACATCAACAGCAGTTTAAACAAAGTCTATTTTAAACCAGCAGTTTTATACTGCAGATTTAACTTGTCCTGCATACCAAGAGACAGCACTCAAATGAAGAGCAAAAAGCTGCTGTGAAGGGCAGCAAGAAACTCTAAACACAAGGCTTTAAAAACAACGCCCCCCCCCCCACCTCAGAAAAAGTACCTAAAGAAGCTAGCCTAACCAGTAATTTCAGTACTTACACAGCAAGAGAACCTTCCACCCTGGCCACTTAAACACACACCATACAAGCACTAGAGCGTGACAAGTGCACACTGGAGAAATTCTTACACATTCTTCTGCACTACTTACCTTCCACTCCTCACCAAGGGAATCAGCCAGCACCTCCGTGGCCATCCGTTTTTCATAAAATGTCCTGAGCTTACGCTCATCGTCTACTTCAATGAGCTTCTGGCAGCCAGTAGCCGGAAAAGAGATGTTGAGCTAACAAAGTTAAAAACAAAAACAAGAAAAATCCAGTTAAACTTCTGATGAAGGATTTTAACGAAAAATAGAAATTACACGATGGTTTGAGCTTGGCACTTCAAAGCTGGAATTCCCCAGGTGCTTACACAAATGCTCACCACGAAAAGCTGTCACCACCACACTTGGTAGAGCCAAGGCAGGGAGAGCTATGTTTGGCTGCACTGGACTGTACAACTCTTTCAGTCGCACAGAAAACTGATGTTATTGCAGTCAGAAATCAATCACAGAATACGAGAAGCAGAAGCCTGTGCTCTCCTCTTCTTCCAAATCCCTCACAGCACACGCCGCACAAGTCACTGCAAGGGACCAACACCTGCTGTGGGACATCACTCGCACTTCCTGGGCGCCGCTGCAAAGCGCCCGCCCCACTGCCTCGGGCACAGCGCACACGGGACATCCCCACCGGGCCCTACAGGCGGCCGCACAGCCTCCTCACCCGCAAACGCCCTTCCGAGCCAAGCGGCTGCTCCACCAGGCCGGTGCTCCGCAACCCCGCGGCAGCCGAGCCCGACCGAGGAAATGGGGCCCGCAAGCAATCCACTCCCATCCGGCCCGCGGCTGCGCTCCAGCCCCGCCGCCGGGCACCATCGGCCACCGAGGGCGGCTCTGCGGGCAGCGCCGCCACCATTGACGGCGGGGCAGCCCGAGCCCCCCGCCCCGAGTGCGGCCCGGCCGCGCGGCCTCACCTTCATCCTGCCTGCCTCGGCGCCGCGGGAAAAGGCCGCGCTTCCGCCCGCACTTCTTACATACACCCAGCAACTCTCGCGAGATCAGTGCCCCCGAGCTGCCCAATGCCGAGCGAGGCTTTCGGGGCGCGGCCTCGTTCGTGGCCAGGCCCCGCCCCGCCCCTCCCGCGCGCCCGCTTCGGGCGGTCGGCTCCCGGCAGGGGCGGGCCCGGGGCCGGAGCCGCTTCCTTGGGGCGCCAGGGAGAAAGTGTTCCTTAGAAACGGCCGGTGGGACGGCACGCAGGAGCTCCGGCTGTGGGCACCTGCAGAAAGAAGCGCCATCAATACGCGACGCAGCGGCTCTCAGGGGAAGGCGCGTTCTTTGCGCGGCGTGAGCGCCTCCCGCCGCGATGGGCGTCCCGGTTCCCTGCCGGCGCCGTGTCCATCTCCGCGCGGGAGCGGGGAGCGGCCGCTCCTCTCCATCACACGGCTGGAACGGACGCTGACACTGCCCTTTGCCCAGTTCTGGCCCCCGCAGCGCAAAAGAGACAAGGAGCTACTTGGGGCGCCACAAGGATGATCAGGGGTCTGGAGCTTCTCTCGTGCGTAGAGAGACGCTGGGAGCTGGGACTGTTTGGGCTGGAGAAGACAATTAGAGGGGATCTCATCAGTACATAGAAATATCTCAAAGGTGGGTGCCAAGAGGATGGCGCCAGACAAATTCCAGTGGTGCCCGGTGGCACAGCATAATGTCCCTAAACTAAAACACAGGAAGTTTCACCTTAACATAGAGAATTTCTTTACACTGTGGGTGGCAGAGCAGTGGAACAGCTGCCCGGGGAGGTTGTAGAGTCTCCCTCTCTCGAGACACTCAAAATTCACCTGGGCGTGTTCCTGTGTCACCTGCTTTACGTGACCCTGCCTTGGCAGAGAGGTTGGACTGGATCATCTCCAGAGGTCCATTCCACACATACCAATTCTGTGATTCTGTGCGAGATACCCCTAAGCGTACAAGGGAGGCGGGCATGCTGCCCACGCCTGTGGAGGAGCTGGCTGCTCAGAGCCGCCGGGGAGCGGGGAACTGGCGCTCCCACCGCCTGGCACCCTCGGGACAGGCTCAGGAGAGCCAGGCGGTGCGGGACCCCACTGCCTCCGCTCGTGGAAGGCCGGCCCGGGGGCCGCGGAGAGAGGCGGGGCGGCAGCGCCGGAGCGGCGGCTGGGCGGGCGCGGTGGGACCCGCTGTGGGCGGCCGCTCGGAGGGGACTGGTGTGCGGACAGCTCCGCCGTCGTGCCTGCCATCGCCGAGTTCTACGGCCCGGTGGGCGGCGGTGGCAGTGCCCGGCGGCGCGGAGCGGCGGCCGCCCAGGCGCCTCGGGGCACGGGAGGGCGAGCGTGCGGCGGCGGGCAGGTCCCGCTGCAGCCCGGGGCGCTCCTGCTGCCTGCCAGCTCCGTCTCCTGCGGGTTTTCCTGGGATTGTAGCGTGCCCTTCTATGGCTGTCGACTTCTTTTTATTCTCCGGTCCCTGGCATGCCTAAAATTAAGGAATTTTTACCTAGTTTTTCAGGTATAAAATGGGAAGGTTTACTACTCACCATACTACTACCGGTAAGTAGTGTGTAGCAGGTCCTGTCTTTGTCGAGACTTGTGGTGACCAAGCATCAAATTTTTGGTGCTAGATTACCCTAATCTAGTACCCATTTACACAAAGAGGTGTCAGCGCCTTGAGGGGCATGCATGGCAGTGATGGGTCAAGATTAAAAAGTACCTTGGTGTTTGGACGCAAGGTTTTCCTGGTTTCTCCCAGACGTGTTTGGCTCCAAGAAGGCAAAGCTTTCATGGAGAGTTTGCCTTTAGGTAACAGGTATGGTAGCAGGTATGAAGTAAGGAGTGTGTTTTTGGAAGAGGAGGAGATACCTGTTTAAGAAGCAACTGAAGTATGGAAGAGAGGGAAGAGGAATAATGTAATTGTTGCTTCCTTCCAGTTAGTCATGGTTTACCCCTGTGTCCTCTTGTACCTTTCCAATACCTCTCAGCTGCTGGAGAGAGCTTACAAGAACAGTCACAGCAGCAGAGCCAGACTGCTGTGTATGACATACCTTGGAAAGGGAGTAATGCTCCTGACATCCTGTTGATGTAAAGTATGGCAATGATAGAACCACTAGAATAAGATAATCCACTGGGCTTTTGGGTCGTTTGCCCTTCCATGAAAATCACCTATCCAGGAGCAAACCTGCAGGACAGGTGTTTTCTGTTTTCTGGTCTGTAGGAGGTGGTTCGTGCACAAATGAGGAGCTGGAGTTTCTGCTTTGTCTCTTTTATACTTTAGAGTGGGCAGATTTTTTTTTTCCCCCCCAAATTCCATCCTTGTCTGTGTTTCTCTTTCAAGCCATGTTTCTTTGACTGCCAACATGTAGTGGAAGAAGAAGTAAGTGTCTTGCTTCCCTGGCTGGAGTTTGTATCATGGGAGGTTCTGCACATACAGAGTAAGTAATTCCATGGTGTACTGCCATACATTGCTAACTTGTTTTCTTCTTGTACTTAGCTGCCAAAGTCCTAAAAATGGCGGCTGGTCTATGCAACTGAAGAATTTTGAGAGTGTGTGAGGGAAACTGTTGGTTTTTTTTGTGTGTCTGATGTCACTGTGCACGAACCAAAAAAGGGAGGAAAAGGTCAGGATAAACAAGTTATTGAAGACAGCAAGTGTGTTTTGTAGCCAGCTATGGAGGGGGATGGGTTTCCTTCTGCTGTATGTGCTGGTTCAGTCTGGGGTAGAGTGAATTTTCCTAATAGGCACTGGTATGGGGGGATGTTTTGTGCTGGAAAAAGTGTTGGTAACTCAGGCATGTTTTAATTATTTCTGAGCAGACCTTACTCAGACCTTTTCTGCTCCTCACCTCACTCAACTACCAAGTGGGCAGAAAGCTTTTGGAGGAGACACAGCTGGGACAGCTGATTCCAACTAACTCAGTGGATTTCCCAAGCCCTACGGCGTAATGATCAGCCTGTAGAGCTGGAAGAAGGAGAAGGAAGCAGTTTGGGCCTTTAGGGTGGTGGCATTTGTCTTCTCAAGTCACTGTTACGTGTGGACATGCTTTTCTGGGGATGGAGAACACCTGCCTATCCATGAGGAGTGCTGAATGAATTCCTTATTTCACTTTGCTTGTGTGAAGAGCTTATGTTTTCCCTATTGGACTGTTATTATCTCAACCCCCACAAGTTTTCTCACATTTACCCTTCTGATTTTCTCCACCATCCTGCTCTGAAGGGAGTTACCAAGCAGCTGGACAGTGCATAGTTGCTGGGTGGGATTAAATCACAACACTGTACTGAGCTGATTAATGGTGGTATAGAAGCTTGTGAAAATGCTAGAAGCTGCACTGGTGTCTAGATCAATAACTGAGGCTTCAGATAGTTGGACAGACACAGAAGAAAGTTTGCCCCAAAGCCTGCTGTGTTGTGGCAGCTGTGTACAAATCAGTAAGCTGTACGCTGAAAGGGGAGGAGAAAAAAAGCCAGTGTTGAGGCCAGTCATGTTTAGGCTCTCTTCAGTAATACCAAGTCATTGTTAGGGCTTGATTTCTCTGTTAGCAACTTCTGAAAATTAAGACAGTGAGTTGCAGTGGATTGATGGTATTGTGCAACTGTGTCCTCAAAAAACCAGATGCCCACAGGACAGTTATGAAGTTTTGGCCCTCCTCTATAAAGTACCTTAGCTGGCATCTAAATGATATTCCTTCTAGGGGGAGTTTGTTCTGACTGATTCAAACTCCCTCCAAGTTCCAGGAAGCACTCTTCAGCAGACCTGAATCTGGCATCTGGGTCATTAAGCTTTAGATTAAAGCCTTGCAAATCCACATTGTAAATTGCCATGGCTAGGCTCAGAGTTGTGGTTGAGGTCTCACGCAATATTCATTTAAGCACAGAACTGGAGCATTTTATCTGAAATGTATTTTTTTTTAAATGATTTATTCTTGTGGGATTTAAACAGAAAACAAAAAACATTCAACAGAATTAAATCTGTAGGATAAATCTCTTTGGAGGTTTTGTATAAATCGATCAAACTAATTTTTTAAAACATACACTGGTTGGACTTAGCAGGATTTTTATCTAGCTAAAGTGATTCAGATCTTACACTTTTTCAGTACAGAGGCCACAAAACACTCCATTAGCTCAAATTGAAGGAAGAGTTATAAAAACAATGTATTTTTTTCTTTTTTTTCCTTCTGAAATGAATAATGTGTTCTGATGCAGTGTACCCTACTCCACCCCATAACAAATGCCTCCAAATGTTCAAAACAATTTTCTTTGTGAAGAGGTATTTACAAAATAAAAGATATTGCTTATTTTTTAAATAAGCAACAATACCTGAAAACAGTATTTTTTCCTGTTAGCTGGGAAAGTCAGTATCAAGCAATTCAATATGTTGCATTTAGTTGCGCTTGTAATTTCCATTTACTAAGGGAATTGCCAGGGTTTTATTCTTCTTTTTCTCCCTAGTGGCATGGAAATAAAAGTTTTCAAAAGTTATAAGGTAGTCTTAAGAATGTGAGAGAATACTTGTACTCTCCCTATAGCATCATTTTTTTACCACAGAAGAGCTTTAGTATACATGAATGTCATGTTTAGGTACCAGGATATGGAGGAAACACACCCTCTGATGGTACTGGGAGATACTTTAGTTCAGTTTTGCTTTCTGCTCAGAAAGACATGGTGCAGTTGGTTTCTCTGTAGTAATTGAGTGCTGCAGCTGCTCTCTGGGAGGTGTAATCAATAGTGATGAATACCTGAGCTTTGGTAGGACTGCAGGCAACATCTGTGTCAAGACAGTGGCCAGATGTGAGTGAAGTTGCATGATCATGATCTAAGCAAGCCCATTCTCTCTGTCCTATAGGCCTTTGTGATGAATATCTATAATATAATTAATTAGCTGAAAATTAAAACTAAAGGTCCAGAATCCAAAATAATGGACTGTTACTGAAGGGCTGCTTGACTATTTTCCAGAACTGTAACATTTATCATTGCTTTTTGCAGATGCCAAAGGAAATCTTCTGTAGTAGTGATGTAAATTTTGCACTTATTGGAATTATCAAAGTATTTGAATTGTTCATTACTAAATCATGGAGGCCAATTATGTATTAATATAAAGAATGGACATGCAATGTAATTTCTGAAGCCATACTTTAGTATTTTTTAGTACTACAATTATTTCAGCTTCTGAGATGTTAGAAAATTCTCCCGATGACCACTGCAAAGAGTACAAGTCATGCTCAGGCTGCAGTTTGCAAGGGTTTTTTTGTATTTGCAGGCAGGACCTTAGAATGTTGGGAATTCATTCCCAGAGGAGTGCTACTATAGCACAGAACTGCTCCCTTGTTGGCTAATAACTTGTATAAATCTACATTGCTACAGCTGTGGTACGTAGATCTAGTGTGACCTTTATCACCTTGTTCCTAGGTGGAATAAGGACTTTCTAGCCAAATTTTGATAGACTGTGATTGCCTGTTCTGATTTTCTTCATTGGTCAGTTTCATCTGTAGAGACGGAAAAGTTTACTTCCAAACCACTTGGTTTATGACCACTTATTTTTGCCCCTTGACACTTCCCTCCAGCTTAACTGTGTCTAAAAGCCTAAAATGCATAGAGCACTCCCAGGCCCCCAGAGTACTTGTTCCTATTCCATCATCCCTGCTGTCACTGTGTATGCTTCCTACCTGCTTTGGAGTGAGGGAAGTCTCCCTGTTCTGTGTATGTGCCAGCACGTCATGCACTGGGGTCCTTGTCGATGACTGTATTCCCAGTTTTGCTGACAGTCTCTGCTGCATGGAGACTGGGTGGGGTTTTTTGTGAATGAAAGTTGCTCAGATTAACCTGTTTTGTTGACTGTTGCTTTGGATGAGGTTGCTTTACATGAGTTAAAACTTGATCTGCGTCTTAAAATCTGTTCCCAGACTGTGTTAAGAGGTTGACAATAGTTGCTAATGAAAAAATTCCTATGTTATTCTTAAATTATTTCTCCACTAAATTTTCATTATTGTCGGCACAAGTTCGTAACCTGTGAAGAGGTGGCCAGTCCCAAAGGAATGTTCTTGACCCAGAGTTATTTTCTACATCAGCTTCAGAGTAGTATTGTTTGGGGTGATTTTCTCTTAGGCTTGGGATCAGCAGGCAAACATGAGCAAGCTGAGGATGGAGATTCCTCCTGTCCATTGGCCCATTGTGAAGCAGCAGTAGAGTCTTTTCATAACTCAGTTACTGTGCCAAGGCTGGCCCTCAGCACTGGCAGCTCCTGGGAAGATCTAAGTGATCACTACTATAATCACAGTTCCTGCTAATTGATAGTAAAATGTTTTCATTATTTACAGACCCATGCTTTAGACTGTTTGTAAGCAAGAAAAATCAGAAAACATGTCTTCATTCAAATTTTGCATATAAAATTTAAAAAAATTAGACCACCTAGCAGTGGTCCTAATTATAGCCTTTCCACCTTCCTATAACTAGTTTTCAATCATGCTCTGTAGTGGAGAACCAAAGGAAAAACTGAGCTGTAAAAAGACTTAAAGCTCCAGGCTTACTTTACCCTGTACAAAAAGGGTTCTAACTCTTAGCCTAACATTGAATTTCTTCCAGACAATAACTATTGCTCAATAAATTGACTTCCATAAGGCTTGTCTAGCTCTGCCTAATGTCAGTGCTTCTAGTGCTTTTTCCGTGCATTGATAGCCATTGAGAGGACACGACACTGGTCCTCAATAGCTTGATCTTGTACACTTTTAGTTGCCACAGTCTTGAACATAGATTCTCATTAAAACTCTTTTGGGAATTGACTTGAATTGTGGCTAGCCACATTTTCCATTCCTGAAAGCTTTTATGCAGTTACTAATTTAATGTTGTTAAACAAAACAAGTCGATGCTTTTGCAAAAACAGCTCAGCATAGGCAGAAATAGGGAGTCATAACTTGTTGAACTGGGGCTTCACTGTATGATAAAATGTTATTATAGAAAGCCTGTGGATATTTAAGATCTGTTTATTTTCTGTCTTTGTGAGACTGTTTGGTTTTTTCCTAGATAAGCAACGTCTTGTTTTTCATTTTACCACCCATATGTATGTGCTTGTTCTGTCAATGTGCAATCTGCTTCAACAGTGGAATATATTTAATATGGATTCTGTTAATTGTGGTTGGTAAGTTGATTATTCTGTATTTGCCAAATCATGTGTGAATTGAGAGAGGACATAAGTTTTTCCTGCTTGTACTTGAGTGTTTTTTAAAACAAAGCAATCCTGACATCTACGGAAGAATTTGCTTGTATTTGCTTAAAGCCAAAGCAGACATAATTTCTGGAGGCAAAATGCCTTTTGCAAACTGAGGCTGGTGGAATATTTGACCATAGTTCTGTTCCTTTCCAATCCTTCCTTGCATACTTTTTTTCATCTTGTGTTTGGGTTTACTCTATAGCAGTGCTGACCCTCATTGCTTAAATAAGAGCTGAAGTGCCAGTGCAACTTAGGAGAGGAATAGAGCTTATACTGAGAAGGCCCAGAGGTGTAGATGTGAGATTCTGAAGTGTATTAATTCCTGGAGGCACTTCAAGGGGATAATCAGAGCCCTCTGGGGTAGTGTGACACTTTCCATATGTAAATCTGTATCATGGAGTAGTCATTGGATGCTGCTTTTTCTCTTTTCTTACCCATTCTTGTGCTATTGAGGAAATTCTGAAGCAATATTTGGCATTTACTTCTTAATTGGTTTTGCTTTTTACTTTTCCACCTGATATTTCTTCAGGCACATCTTTTCTAGTAGGAGCTGATATTTTTAGCTGCTACTTTTGTGATCTACTTTTGTGATGTACTTTTTTTCATTATTAGGGAGAGTATGAAAACTTGATTGCCTCTTAGTGAAGTCGGTGGTTTTTATAGCCTTTTCTAGACCATTTCCTGTAGCTACCATTTCCGGTGAAGTTCTGAGCATGAACAGAATATTTCAGTCTATTACAGTGCTGCAGCTGTTCATAATACTGTCTCTTGATTCATTCTTCTAGGAATTGGATCTGTTTATTTTCATGCTACCCTCAGTTTCTTGAGCCACATGCTGGATGAGCTGGCTATTCTCTGGGTTCTGATGTGTGCTCTTGCCGTGTGGTTCCCTAGGAGATACCTGCCCAGAGTTTTTCTAAATGACAGGTAATCATACAATGATACCTGTACACTTTCATGTTTTCTGAAACTTCTTGTGCTAACACCTAAACCTGCACATAATGGCACCAGATTATCAACCACTATCACTGCTATTTTTTCTCTACTCCATTGTCTTCCAGTTGCTTGTATCTCATTCAGCCCATTTTGTTCAAAATTCCCAAGTCAGCAGTTGCTGGTAGTGGGATTTGTGTCCTGTAACTTCAGGTGAGATGTTAGATGAGATGTTCTTGTTGATTTTAGGGAGACTTTTATGATGAGTAGTTTATAAAACTTACAGCTAATGTAGAAGACGCCATATTTCACTCTTCCTTTTGTATATCCTGAAGGGTATATACAAGTGAACCGATGGAAGTCAGCTGAACATTCATGTGAATTTTTAAAACAGTGGTTAAGGAAGGTGTTTAGGCCTTCAAAGGCCAAGTGTTTATTTAGAAAACTATTGTTGTAAGGGGATTTTTGTTCTTTTTCTTGCAGGTTTAAAAAAATATAGCCAGTTTAAACCATTTGATTGTAGTTTGCCTGCCCCCCCCCCCCCCCCTTCCCGAGTAAAAACATAATGTCGTTCTTTAATGCAGTAAGGAAGTTAAGGTAATGGAGAGGCTTGAATTGCAGCATCAGTGTTGTTCTCTATGGAGATTGCTAAGACTTTTGCCCTCTTACACTGCTACTCTCTGCAGGAGTTTTTTGGGTTTATTTGTTTGATTGTTGGGGGTTTTATTTGGGTGGTTGTCTTATTCTTGATAATATACGGGATTAGAAGTTGCTAATGCATGGAGCGAAGTTTGGTGCATAGACTGACCATACCTCAAAATAGCTCGCACTGGGTAGAGTGTACCTATAATTACTGTATGCAGCCTATGTGCATGGCCCACTCCTCTTCAACATCATCATAAATGACTTGGACCTTGACACAAGACTGGAAGGAATACTTCAAAGTTTGATGACCACACTAAATTGGGAGAAGCTGTTAAATCCCTTGAGGGCAGAGAGGCCTCCACAAATGAGAGCAGTCACCAATCAGGTGAACTTCAACAAGGGAAAGTGCTGGATTCTGAGATGGGGCAACCCTGGATGTATGGGGAGACTGGGAATGAGATGCTGTAAGCAGGGCCATGGAAAGGCACCTGGGGGTCCTGGCAAGTTGAACATGGGTCAGCAGTGCCCTGGCAGCCAGGAGGGCCAACCCTGTCCTGGGGGGCATCAGGCACAGCTTCACCAGCCAGGCAAGGGAGGGAATTGTCCTGCTCTGCTCTGAGCTGGGGCAGCCTCACCTCGAGTGCTGGGGGCTGGTTTGGGCACTGCAATATAAGAAAGACATTAAACTGTTAGAGAGGATCCAAAGGAGGGTAACGAGGCTAGTGAAGGACCTTGAGGGGAAGCTGTATGAGAAGCAGCTGAGGTCACTTGGTTCATTCAGTTTGGTGAAGACGAGATTGAGACAAGACCACATCGTAGTCTTCAACACCCTAATGAGGGGAAGAGAAGGGGCAGGAGTCAGTCTCTTTTCTGTGGTGACCAGTGACAGGACCTGAGGGAATGGCCTGAAGCTGAGTCAGGGGTGGTTTAGGTGGGATATGAGGTGATAAAATGCATACCTTGCATTGTAGCCCAAGACAAAGCCCTAACCTAGAACAGGTTTGATTAATATTTTTAAGTTTTTTGCTTTGTCTGACTAATCCTCTAGTATTATGCCTATCCGTGTGCTCACAGCTGTACTGTTCACTTTCATCATCATCATCATACTTTGAATTGTCAATGCTGAAAATGTTATTATCTACCATGACCAATTAGTTATGTTATTCATTAATATTATTCATTAAGACATTCATGTCAGATCAGAACTTCCTACATAAGTAACTTGTTGCTTTCCAGCAGAAAGAAAAACTTTAAAGCAAAAGGCAAATGAAATGAGCCTAGGTGAAGGTCATGACACTTGTGGCCATGGAATGGTACCGTACAAATATACTGAAACCCTACTTCAAACATAGAAGGCCATCCTTGGACAACAATTTTAAAAGGACAGTAGTTAAAAAGCAGCGTGGTGATCCTCTTCCTCAGCCATAGAGTGGATGTGAGTTGTCTGAAGTGCAGACCTGGAGTTTAAACAACAGTTAACGTATATTTAATTTAAAAGTTGTCATGCTGTCTACAAAGGGCACAATAGTGATTTTGTATTTGCTAAGAATTTACCAAATCTTGGTCTTATAAAAAGTCTGGCCATTCTCACCTACTGTTGAATTTGATTAAGGAAATATTCCAACTTAGCATGTAAGTTTCAGTATCTTTGAAGGCTCTAAAGAGATAAAGGAAAGTTAAGCATACTGTAATATAGCTGTAGAAGCTGATGCATTAACAATAAGAAAATATCCTAAAAATCCATGTTAAGTGCTTGAAGAATGATGGGACAGAATGTTTTTGAAGACATACAGTGCTGTGTGCAGAGGTAGACCTAGTTTTTGTTACATTATTAAAATAATGTTGAAATTTCTGGGTTTAGTAATTAAAAGTTTTGAATTTAAAGACATTTTTCTGCCTGTATAAACTCTACTCAGGAGTCAATTTAAAGCTGCTGTGGGCGTCTTGTCTGGAGTTGCCACCTGCCTGGTCTGCCATTAACAACATCTAACGAATGATGCTGGGAGTTCCCTGCACTGCTTTTCTCATTGCTGAGTTGAAGAGGTAAGTACAATTCTCCAGAATGCAGGCAGCGTTGCCTCATTCTGATGTCTCAGATCCTTAGGACACCATGAGATGATACACTATATCCGGCTTCAGTGCATGTGACAGCAAATCAGAAATGCTTCTACCACAAGCAAGAGCAAATCTAGTATATATTTTTTGGCAGTTCAGACATTTTTTGACAAGGATTTCTTTTCCCTAGGACTTTTTAGTAGGTCAGACATTTTCTGTGTTCTTGCAATATGCCTCTTGCTGCATTTAACTCAAATTTTTTTATTTATTGTGAAATTAGGGCCCAGGTTTCACTTTATGGATAGCATTTTTACTGTACAGTGTGCATAAGGGTGAGGTGATGGCATGGTTGTAGTTTGGATGCTAGTGGGAGCAAGGTCCAAGCACATGTGGAAGATGTTCCAACTCCCAGAGTTGTACTGTGAGTCTTGCATGGCTTTGTCATCTAATACGAATAATATGATGGAGTCAGAGTGACAAATATAAGGTTAATCACTACATTTTGGAGGATAGGTGTCAGTCAAGGTTGTAAAAATAATAAAATCAGAATGCAAATAGAGAACAACTTGAGACTAATTTCCATATTTTAGAGAGTGTTCTGTTATAGTGATACCAGCAGCTGTCCAGAGGTTCTTGGTCCATCTCTTCACCCACAGCAAAAAGGATCAGAGGAGTACCAGGATTTGACCTTGTCTTTTTTCACCTCTTCTCCACTGTCTGAGAAAGATTATGCTTTCTCTTTTATGTTGCATCAAAACAAGTTGGAAGAAAGTGTCTTCCTTCTAATTGCATATGTTATAATAGAGACTTTTCTGTTTGCTACATTATCCTGATCTGCCTCTGCTATACAATGGAAGCCTCTCCAAACAATGTTTTCTAAAGGTGCTCATGAGTCTTTTCTCATTAGGCATCCTTCTGTGTATTTCTGTGGTCAAAGACACTTGGAAACAGCATACAAGTTAGTTGTGGACAAGGTCAGTAGTGGAACAATATTGGTGGTTTCTCATTTTGATGATGGCACAAAGGAACTACTGACCAGGGCAAAGGGACATCTGGTTGTACCACAGAATAATCTGTGAATTCTCTGTCAGTTCCATATCAGTTGCATAATCTCCTGAGAAACTTGAATGTGTCTCCTTAGTGTCTCCTAAGTTTGGGTACTGTTTCACATCTTGGAATTGGTATGCCTATAGGTATTTGTTTTTTAAACTCTTTCTGCAGGGTCATTGTCCTGGTTTGGGACAGATTTGGGAGGAAATCCAGCATCACAAAGTCACCCCAGGACAGTAATATATTACTAAAATGTCTGAAGTTTCCTGGTCGTGTTTTTTTAACGAGAAAATTAAGGACACAGATAGACCTTCTTTTAGACCTTAGCTGGTGAATAAAAAAGGACCGGAAGTGACATAGGGCCTTCTCTGGCTGTGCATTGGGACGGTTTATTACCACTGATATTTGTGGATGAATTTGTAAGTGCAAAAGGCTTAAAAGTAAAAAAAAAACAAAACCAAGTTTTATTATAAGCTATGCTGATCCCTTTGAAATTTAAAGGGTTACATTCTTGTAAACTGAGAGGTAAGGAGTCAGTCATCTCATCCCCTTTTGCAGGAGGAAAATTAATCTAAACATTATTTAAAAGGTTTGCTATTTTTCTATTCTTTGGTACCATAGCTGGGAGGAGACTTCACATCCAAGTCTGGCAGGCCACAGTGGAAATTTTTCTGTGAAACAGATATTTGAGGGAGAAAAGTTGCTTTTGTTCCATGCTGAAGTTTTTGATATTTTAGACCAAAACTCCTTGTTGTTATTCCTATTCTAGGCTGTGTCAATTTTGTATGGAATTTTGGAGAATCAAAACCACTGTGTTTTGAACCCAAAATTTTCTGCATTATGTTTGTCTTTGATGAGGAGATAATATTGTCACAAAAGAGCATTAAGTTCTTAGATATGGACCTGGTAAGGTAGAGTGTATGGCTGGGAAGTATTGTGAGTAGGAGGTGATCAAAAGAGCAAAAGGTAGTCGTGTCCTTGAAAGACAAAGAAATTGTAAAACTTTATTGTCATTTCTGTCACAAAAAATTCTTTCCTATGTTTCTTAAAAGAAAAAGCTCTACTAGAAGATGGTATCGGTGGGAAGGTGGATGTGTATCCTTTGATTGTCCTAGTCCAAGCCATTGATGAAATGAGCAGGGTCTATGCCTTTATTAATAGTCAGCTCTTTATTAAAAAGTCAGCTCAGCAAGGGGCTTGACAAGGAGCTCGCCCCCACCGTTTTAGCTTTTTCCTGGGGGCCGAAGGGTGAGAAGGCGTGCAGAGTCCAGCAGCAGCTGTCCCTCTCCTTCCCTCCTGGTAATTCCAGGAAGTGTGTGTTCCTTTGGTCCTGCTTCCCACAGCCCAGTCCAGTCTGGTCCTCTGCAGGTTACAGTGACAGGTCAGACACAGACTAGGGATGAGGTTCCCTTTTCCCCAACCAGCACATCCATCCAGCCCCCTCCACTGTGCCCAGCCTTCCATTTAGGGGTGTTTTTATCCCCAAAACCCTCTCCGATGATTCCACTGGTCTCCCTGTTTTGCATCCCAGTCCTAGAATGGTAGTGAGGGTGGGAGGGTAGGTGATTCCCAGGAGCAATTAGCTAATTAACATTTCAATATCAGTATTTAGTTCAAGCCAAGTGTCCCAGACAGGCTGTTTTGTTCATAACAATTGAGATTATAATGTCATCAAATTAGTAGCTATTTAGGGAGGCATTCAAGACAATACCCAAAACACAGGGTACTTTTTACTGATAAAAAATTTTGTTTTGTTACCTCACCTCTGCCTTGCTTCAGAGCCAGACTGTAAGTGAAGTTAATTTGTTAAGTACATTTGTGGTGGAATCATTTTAATGATGCATGTCTGGCATTGCTTTATAACTATTTATTTATGTTTTTCTCCTTAGGTGTGAAAACCTGCCTGTATACAAACTGGGTTTCTTTTCAGGTCTTTGGTGGATGCTAGCACTTTTCTGTTGGATCAGTGACAAAGTGTTTTGTGAGATCTGGTCCTCATTCAGCTTTCTTTATTTGCACTGTGTATGGTAAGTGCTGTGTATAAAGTCCAGATTTTGATTCAAATGTGATCCATTCTCACCACGTTACCCTTCTGTGCTACTTGGGGCTATTTCTGTTTAATTATAAACAGAATATATAAGCCCAGAACAAGTCTTGTGCTATTCAGGCTGGCAGATTTACTCTGGATTGTATTCTTAAGCCACTAGGTTCATTAATTATAACTGAATTCCTTGCCATACTGGTCACTAGAAACATAGCTGTGACTATGAAAACTTAAAGTGTCGTTGATAATGATGGTATGAAGATTAGTGATGAATGAAGATTAGTGATTAATTAATGATGGTGAAGTGGAGAAGCAGTAAAGGGCTTTGATGCCTTTCCTCTTTTACCACCCAACAAATCAGTTACTTACTTGAGGTGACATATCTCAGCATTTCTGCACAAATCTGACAGGTGCAGAGAAGCCAAAAAAAGCCTGGAGCCTATTTAGACCAGAGATAAATTGCAGTTTTGTAGTCGTCCTTTACAAATATTCTTTGCCCCCATGCAAAAGACAGACAGCAATATTATGGGGGGCTTGTGAGAAGATGGTGAAGGACAGACTGATTTTAAAGTATGGTGGTACAGTTGATTGCTTTATTGAATTTATGTTACTGATGCTTTTTTTCTTTCCTTTTTTTTTTTTTTTTTTTCCTATCTTGGTGTGTGGGTGGCTATTCTCAGGCACATTTTGATTTGCCTTGTGGCATATCTAGGATGTGTCTGCTTTGCTTACTTTGATGCTGCCTCTGAGATCCCTGAGGAGAGCCCTGTCATAAAGTTCTGGCCCAGTGAAAGGTGGACATTCATTTGAGTTCTCTATGTCACCTCCCTCTGTGCACACAAAAAACATCTGTGGAGATTACATGAACTTGGAAGCCATGGAATGGGGATGGATTTTCAATTTATATTCCAGCACAGACAATATTTACATAATGATAAATGACTAGTGTTGTATTTTCTTTTCTTCCTAAGACAGCCATCACTTCAAGTGTCACAGGAAGAGGAGGAAAGTGTGTTCATTCCTCTCTGAAGAAGAGAGAGGAAGCAGGAACATGGGGCACTTGAACTCTAAAGTAACAAAATGGCTTCTTTGTTTTTTTGCACTGTGTTTTTGATGTAGCATTTCTCTTGATAAAAGCTCTTTTCAAATACCAAGGTCAAGGAATGGTCTTTTTGTAGAAGGTCACCTTTAGTGCTTGATCCACTTCTTTTGTAACTTTCTTTGTGAAAGAAGACAGTCCAAGATGCCTACAATGCCATCCTGTGTCCTTCTTAGCTCTGATTTTACTGCAGTTACACATGGCCACAAGAGTGTGCTTGAAGCCCATGCTGTTCCCAGCCTGGTGTGGCATCCAGGCTGTGCATCGCTTTGGATCGCAGAATATATGGTTGCTTCCCCAAGTACAACCGGAGATGAGTGTTTGCAGCTGGATTACTCTGTAAGTGCAATTAGGCAGTGTAAATGCAGAGGGAGCTGACAGAAGTCCCTAAAACTAGGTAGGAGTTTGAGGATTTTATTCTATGTCCACTGTCCTGTGAATACTTGTATGCTGCATATTTCCTTCTTGCAGAAATGTCACAGAATCAACCCCTCTCTACCTCTTGAGACATGTTTGATGTTTAATTTGGCATTGAAGTGCTCACAGAAGTGTGAACATTACCTTCAGTAAGATCTCAGGTCAGCATTGATTGACAGTGTGATTAAACTATAAAAACTCATAGATGCCTAGCAGCACTCTAATTTGAGAGCTGACTTTGCACCAATGCATTGCAAGTGATCTCAAAAATAGTCCAGAGCTCTGCTGGTTGTACTTAGGAAAAAAGTAGATAACTGCTTAAAAACCAAGCTAAAGACCTAGATTTCAGTGAGCAGTGAGATGTAATATTGAATCTTGCATTCTTGCAAAAGATTCTTATTTTCTGTGTTTTTTCAGTCCATTTTGTAAAGATAAGGGATGTCTAGGTCCATTTAGTTTTAAGATTATTGGTGTTGAGGTTCAGGAATTGCTATAGTTCTTGCAAGCAGCTAATACAAGGCCTGTTTAAAAAAATGGTGCAAAGTTAGGCATGTTTTTCAAGTATGAGCAATTGTAGCTTCTAATCTCTGCAGTTTTGGAGAAAAAAGGGTCTACTCACATTCCTCAGAACTCTAATATCAGAACTCCAAGCAGGCTAAGGCTTTGAATGTACACTTTTATTAATAAGTGTTATTTCCTTTTTTAGTATTAGACTATGAATATGATTTTCTCTTTGTTTACATGTCTTATGTTGTACTTGTTTTTTATCAATGCAAAAATGTTCTCTATACTGTATCTTCTTTATGAAAGTTGCTTTTAGCAAGAACTTTTGGCTGAATTAATTTTCAAGGATTTTGAAACCTTTAAAACTTTTTTATTAAAATTTATGCATAGAGAGCAAGAAGTAAGGTGTATGCTGATACTCTTGAAGCAAATTGTTAGTGGGAGATACGATTTTTTCAGGAAACCTTCAAAACAGGTGAGTAGGCTACTGTCACATGACTGCCAAATCATAAAATCAGCATAAAACCTTTCCAGTGGAACAATACATATTTATACCACTTGCTAGTAGGTTTGAAACATCTTTTTTTTTTTTGACACACAATGATACAATTTTTGTTAGAAACCTGTTTATAAAAATGTACATACTGATGTTTGTTATTCTTTGAAAAAATTCTTTTTTCCTTTGCTTTCCTCTCCATCAGTTTTGAAATGCTCAGCTTCAAACACTTCTCAGGAATTAAAAGTTCTATTATTAGATCCTTATACAGATAGAATGCTGGCTGGAACCCAGATAAGTTTTCTGATGCCTAACATGGCCTTACTTGGAGTAAGACTTTTTGACAGTGTTTGCTAAATTACTATGTTATGGTGAGTAAGTTATTTTCAGTATTACTTGGGAATCTAATAACTTCATACATAGTGTACTGTTCAAAAAGACTGGAGCCTTTCTACTTAATATTTTGCTTGAAAGTAACCTCTGACTCAAAAGGTTCTACTTAATCTGCTGCCAGTTGCCGTCTTCTACTCTGCAGAGTCTGACTGCTCACAAAGAAGTAATTTTGTAATTAAAAAAAAATCTCAGTAGGGCATTCAGCTATTGAAGAAGTAAATAAATGCAGATAACAGGCCAAGAATCATCTCCTGTATTTTTATTATCTAGACTTTTTTACCCTTTATGGGAGATTTTGTGAACAAAGGTCACTATGTCTTGCTCAAATCTTCAATGTAGAAATGGTTGGAGTACTCCTCTGTAGCAACAGCACACCACTTTTAGATTTAGCTATTGCACTTTACATTAAATTAGCATATATAAAACTGAAACTGTATAACTACACTTATTTAAAAAAATAAAAAACCTGCAAATTTTCAAGATTTGCAGTTTTACAGATTGCACCTACACAATAATATTAGTACCCAAAGAAGTATATGATTGGCATACAGAAGGGTTTGTGCACTGGATCATACAGATTGATAAAGTATGCACAAGGAGCTGTATTACATTGCAGTATAAAGTGATTTATATGCACCTGAAGGTTTTAAAGCCCCAGAATGTTTTCTTTCCCTGCTGGCAGGAAGTGAGTTAGTTCCTAGAGTTCAGGTTCAATTAGTATTTTAGTCTATTTAGTGGGATGCAATACTGTATTGAGTGTATTGTAAATATTGACATGTAATATCTGTCATTCCTTTAATGTTAAATTTAAGTTTTTTTATGAAAGGATGGTTAGTTTTCAGTGGTAGCAAATGCCCAATTCACAGTCATTTACAACTCAATAAGAACTCCCTAAGGAGTGGCATAGGGTTGGGGGTTTCTTCCATCTCCATTTAAATCTGTGTACTAAATGTTTGTGGAAAACATGTAATACTTTGCAGCATTAAACTGTATTTGGAGTAAATATTGTTTGCTTTTTAATGTATGATGTTTGTGGAGAAGAATGCAGCTGCCAGTGTAATGCCTGAACTATAAGGATAATTGTTTCTTTACACAGTCATCAGCAATTCTGACTCAGTGAGAGAGAGGGAGACTGCATTAGATAGACGATCATTAATTAGTAAGACAGTGATTACTTTGCGTATCAAACTGGTTTTTGCAACTAGAACAAATATTTGAAAACTGCAAGCCTGTGAATCAACAAAGACAAGTAGCAAGAAATGGTTAAAAATGAGTGGCCTGTATTTCCACAAATAGACAAAACTGGGTCAGAGTGAGTACATCTGGGAGAAAAAAGTGAGGATCTTTATCTTCATGTATGTTGCCTAAGACTGTGCTGGGAACTTAAGGAAATGAGATTGTGACTACATAGTAGCCTTGCACCTGCCCTTTCCCTCCTGCTTCCCTTTTACCATGGTTCTCTCACTTCATGTAAAAGACTATTTTTGAGACATTCATGAATCCTCATAAGCAATTGTAATCAAGCTAGAAATAGCTGTTGTGTGAAAGCATAGCTGTAATTCAAGAATGTTACTCACTCAGAATTAATGTCTATAGCGGCTAAAAATTCAAAAACAGCTGGTGGATTGGTTCATACATTGTGTCATTCAGTCTGCTCTTATGTGGAATTTACAGACATGGTTTCCCATGGAGATGAGAGGAGCATCATCATATCACTGCACTTCCCTGATAGCTTCAGCGCTCCATGCTTGTTTTGTCCAAATCTGACAAAGGCAAGAACCTTGGAGGTAATTTTCTACAAGCTGTGTAAAAGATGGTCAGGTAGAAAAGCCAGGCCTATAAGACAACCTATTGTTAAAATAATAGAAACTTACCCAGGAAGGAAATCAAAGTAGTGCTCAGGTTCTGGATTATCTTTTCCTGTGGTTTGTACTAGCTACAGCATCTGGAGCTCCTTACACATGGAAGGAATTTCACATGCTTCTGTTCCAGAGACAGAGGAATTACTTTCTTGTGTAACTCACAAAGATCAACATTTTGCTCCAAACTTACAAGGCAGAAACTCCCCCAAGAGGTTGGCTGACAATGTCTTGTATTGCTATGCTCCAGGCTGTCAGTTAAACACAGTGCAAGTTGAGAAAGACTGCAGTTTGAAGGAGGTGACTTCCATGTCACAAACTCAGGAACCATAAAAACCTGGTTGTAAACTTCCAGCATGTAGTGAGGAGGTGAGTAGGTGTTGGTTAAAAACAAGTCATGTCTACCTAATTTAGTTTTCTTCTACAGGGTATTTTCTGTCCATGTGGCTATACTGAAGAAGCTGTACTGTTAGATTTTGACACATAACCATTTTAGCATGGTTTGACAGGACATTATTATAAAAGTGCTGGAAAATCTGTTTTGATAGAAGTTCTGTCTATGGATTTGTGTAAAATTATTTGAAAAGCTGTTCTGAGCTGTCCTAGATGATCCATTTTAAAATCAGAAAAAGGTGTAGAGTGGACATCAGCACAGTCCTTCTTGGGTCACCTTCTGTTTAATTGCTCATCAGTGCATACATAAAAGTTACTGATAAAGTCTGGGAAGATCAGTTGGATACCTGGAGAAAGAAGTCTAAAATTCAAAGGTTGGCTGAATTGTGAAAAAAAACCAAAACAAAACAACAAAAACAAGAACAATGTATTAAATCTATATAGTTATTATTGACAATGCCAAATGCAGAATAACTAGGAAAGGAGTTCTTAGTACAAGCTCTGAAGGATTAGCGTGGATCATGAGCCAAATATAATACAATAAGACATCACCTCATTAAAAAGAAAAACCCAAAATCATTCTAAAAAAATCCTGTAAGAGAGGAAGAAATCCTTTCCTTTAGAGAGTACCAATGAGGATTACCAGCAGTTGGAAAAAACAAAAGGCATGTATGGAGAAAGAGACTTAGCCTTAAAAACCAGTGTGAGATAGATATGAATATGATGCAAGTATGTAGAAGGAAGTGTGCAAAGATTTGTGGTATTTGGAGAGGGTAGGTGCAGGAAACACAGGCGTAGACTGTGGAGGGTCGGTATCTTCATGAAAATAGGTATTTGAGGAGCAATTGGAGAAGCTGTAGGTATTTGTATAGGACACGGACACTACTGATCTTGCCTTGTAAGATGGATATGAAGTAGTTGGTTGTAGCAATGTGGGGGTTTAGATGGTGGATGCTGC